ACATTATGATTGTGCAGATTGATCATGCAGTGAATGGACTCATGTAATACAAGACAGATCATTATAAGTTTCCAACCCCAACAGCCTCACCCCTGTATATACCGTGATCACTTTTCCTTCCCCTTTCCCCAAATACTGTCCTGACATCTAATACATAAAAAAGCTTTGCCTATTTTAGAATTTACATAAATGGAATCATGCATTATGCATTCTTATGTCTGTGTCCTTCACTCTCATGTGATATTTTTTCAGTTTATTCATACTAATGAATTAGCTATAGTTTAATAATTTTCACTGCAGTATTCTGTACATATAACATTTTAAAATCCATTCTATGTGGTGTCTCTGAGCAGGGGACGTGAGTCTCAGGCCCTCAGGGACACAGAGCCTTCCTGAATGAAGCATTTGTGGTCATGGGATTCCTTTGCTGGTCCCCCTCTGCCACACCTACCCTGATGTCTCTTGGTGGGGACAGAAGCACTTCTTCTGGCTACTTACTGTGAGCAGGTCTCCTGATAGATCACCCTTGCCCTTGGTGCCAGCTGTGCTGGTGTTGCTGGCAGGGCTCCTTCTCAATACAGAGGGGGAATGAGCTTACCTGAAGCACCTCTCATTGCCAGGTTGGATGTTGGGGGACAGCAGGCCTAGGTCACTTTCTTCTGTAGGGCGGGGTACTTAAGATGTCCAGCCAGTGTGTTGACCACTCCTGATCCTGGGGTCCCAAATCACTCCACTTTTCTCTTTCCAGCTTTCAGAGTCTACTTGCTTGTGTCTTTCATAAGTTCCAGAATTTATGGTTGTATTTAGTAAGGGGAAGCACCTGCTTTGGCCCACTGGTGTTCATCCTGTACCCAAACAGACAAAACTGGCTGCTTAGCTAGTTAAGCAATGGCGTGGTACCCAGAAAACTGTATTTTGGTTTATGTATCATTTATTTCCTGAGTGGCAGCCCTTTTAATTCCCTTCTAAACCCCCAAATCTCTGAAATGTAGTAGAAATATACATTGCTTTAACATTAACAGCAGGAGAAATGTATGTACAGTGTCTTGAATGTTATTTAAATTCATTTATATTAGTTTTGTCAATATTGGTTACTGTTAAATTACATGGGTCATAATTTTCTTCATTAACATAAGAAGAATCACACTACTAAGTATAAATGATTAACAGTTCATTTTAAGTGAAAATTACAAACTTG